CATCCAGCATGCTTCTTTCAGTACATTGGATTCAAGACCAAGTATACACGTTACATGCATCAAAGCTAGATTACAAATTATCATAGTCATCATCATCATCATCGTCATCATCTTCACGTTTTCTTTTCAATGCATTTGATGATTCATTGGTTTTATTTTGTGATGATACCATATTAGTGGTAATAAGGATGTTTTTGGACCCAATTAATGACGGATTAATCAGAACATTTTGAACTGCTGATGTTGCAGGAATTGATGCTTTTACAGCAGGGGACTGAGAAGCAGACATCTGAACTGTAAACCTTTGCCCTGTGAGGGACATTGGAATCCCTACTTTAGTTGAAACAACATGGTTTGTGGGGTTGGTGTGCCCAATGTGGGAGTACTTGGTCTGCAGGTAACTGAACCAACACTTAACCATGGAACAGTTGTTCTTCCTGCAGTAGTAGATGCTTTTTTTTGTAAAGACTTAAGCCTATAGTTTGGAGCTGTTAAGCAGTATCTATCAGGTGGCAATCTAGGACCTGAATATGGCTTAATCAATGGCAAAGGGGTTTGATTTCTTTGCCTTGCAATATCTAATAAAAAATCTCTTGGGGGTGGAGAGGTGAAAGACTGGTCAGCATGACACTGGATTGCCAATTGCACATTATCTGCATCAACAGTGGCTTTTTTAGCATAGCTGGAATAAATTTTAGCATCATCTAGAACTGTGGTCACATATCGGAATGCAAACTCCAACATCTGATTTGTAACTCTTGGCTCATATTCTGTAATCCCCATATCCTTCAGGATTTGTGCCATCATCTGTGCATCTTTCGGCATGCTCTTGGGAGAAGCCATCTTGCCAGACTCCATGATATCCGGTGATCAGACTTCTCAAGCTAAATCACCAACATTAATGTACTTCAGTCCTGATCTTGAGGCAAGTTCTTTGCCCAGTGTGGTTTTTCCAACCCCCATGAGCAGGATGTTGGGGCGCTGCATACTCCTCACACAGCCACCATATTCCAGAAATTATATTACAGGTTTGCAATCAGCCAATATACTTGTTATGGTTTGCATCTGGAATGTCCCCTGATGGCTTATTTGTTGGAGGCTTGTTCCCCAGCTGGGGACATTGTCAGGAGGCAGTGGAATTTTAGGAGGTGGGCTTGTTGGAGCAGGCCCCAACCAACCCTTGCTTCTCAGTCAACATGAGATGAACAGTTTTCTCCACCATATGCTTCTGCCACCTCTGCAATGATGTTAGCAAGACCCAATTTCAACAAACAAGCTGGGTGTGGTGACAGCCCAGCTATGCAGAAGGTATATGCAGGAGGATCTTGGTTTGAGGCCAGCCCTCGGCAAAACCAAAACAAAACAAAATGAACCCTACCTGAAAAATAACTCAAGCAAAAAAGGGCTGAAGGTATGGCTCAAGTGGTAGAGCATCTGCCTAGCAAGCGCAAGGCCCTGAGTTCAAACCCCAGTACCTCCAACTAAAAGAAAATAGTTGGGCCCTGATGGCTCATGCCCGTAATCTTAGTTACTTGGGAGGCTGAGAATGGGAGGACTGTGGTTCCAGGCCACCCTGGGCAAAAAAGTTTTAAGGACCCCATCTCAACAGAAAAATGGTGAGTGTGGTGGTGCACACCTATCATCCCAGCATCAGCATGAAGGATAAACAGGAGGTCCCAATCTAGGCCAACCTGGGCAAAAAAGCAAGACCCTATCTCCAAAATAACCAGATCAAAAAAAGGACTGGAGGTGTGACTCAAGCAGTAGAGCACATGCCTGGCAATCATGAAGTGCTGAATTCAAACCCTAGTTCTGCCAAAATAAAATAAAACAACCCAGCAACAACCCAGAAAGGCTCCCTTTCTACTGTGTGACCACGGGAATGGAACAGTTCACTCTACTCAAGAGGAGCAAGAACGAGACTTTGACTCCTGTCCTTATCCTTTAGTTTGACGGCTTCACTTTCTAACCTTAGTCACCTGCCTTCTTAGGTGACATAATTAAGACACTTTTTAAAAATGTCACTTTGACACACACACACATCACTTTTTACTTTGCATTTCACTTTTTGCCAAAAGTAAGACAATTAATACATATAATTAACTAGCTAGCTGAACTATCTAAGGTTTCACATATACTTTCACTTCCATTGCTCAACAACATGGAGGCACTTGAATTTAGTGGCCATTGCCTCTTTTTCATGTAAGTTTTAGTGCTAAAGAAATGTGCTACTTAGCTAAGTCTCCATAGAGAACTGCTCAAGACTTGTGCCTATGACAATGGTAGGACTGAACTGAGCTCTCCATACATTTCAGCTGGCAGGTGTCCCCTCAACCCTCCTGAAAAGAGTTGTTAGTACTAAATTAACATTCTCCAGCATCCGTCAGGCACATGATCAATGTTTAGGATTCCCAGAGTTATGCCAAGTGTGTGCCTGTAATCCTACCACTCTGGCTACCTGTAATCCCACCACTCCGGCTGCCTGTAATCCCACCACTCCAGCTGCCTGTAATCCCACCACTCTGGCTGCCTGTAATCCCACCACTCTGGGTGCCTACAAACCCACTACTCCGAGTGCCTGTAATCCCACCTCTCTGGGTGCCTATAAACCCACCACTCTGGTCTCAAACACCAAACAAACAAGTAAACAGTAGAAAAACTGGCAAAGATTCCCACAAATGATTATGATGGGGTAAGGCACAAAAATCTGCCCTTCTGTGAGCAACTTCTGGACTTTGGGTGCAGGGAGTCCGTCCATAGTCCCTTTCCTGAGGCAGAGCACAAACCTGGCTGAGCTGACCTTCTCTACCAGACCATTCTGCCAGGCAGGCTCAACTAGGCATCTTTGTTATGGGAGCTTCCATTCTGCTGTTTCTAGCTACAAAGACTAAAGATAGCTCATTCATTCATTCAACAGTGCACACCCCACACTCACATTTGTGTCTCATCGCACTGATTTAGTTGACCTCTTACTGACTCTTGTGCTGATGATCTGGTGTGTGTGTGTGTGTGTGTGTGTGTGTTTGTGTTAGTTTCCCCTGGCTGCCTGTGCAGAAACCACTACAGAATGGATGACTTAGCAGAATTTTATTTTCTCATAGTTTTGGAAGCTGGAAAGTCCAAGGTCAAGGTTTGGCAGGGTTCAACTTCTGGAAAGGATTAGATTCCTGATGTGTAGATAACCACTTACTTGCTGCATCCCCGCATGGCCTTTCTTCAGTGGTTGCAGCCTGGGGCACAGGGAAGGAAGACAAAGAGATAGGTCTTTCTCCTTAGAGAGAGAGAGAGACACAGAGACAGGGACAAAGACAGACAGACTCTTTCTCTTCTTATAAAGCCACCAGTCCTATTAGGTCAGCTACCCATATCCTTGACTTCTTTCTGCCTAAAGACCCCATCTCTAAATACAGTCACACTGGGAGTTATCACTTCCACATAGAAATCTGGGGATAGAATTTGCTCCATAGCAGTGTTTATAAATAATCTATGTGACTGGCTATCAACTTGTTAAAATGTAGATGGATATAAGTATGTACAATAGATTTTACATGTTTACTTATTTATTCAAAATTATCTTAAGATAACTTTCATTCTTCACATCTCATCAAAACATCCATTGTTAAACTCCCAATTACTTAAATTATTACTTAGAAGCAGTATATCATCTGGGTCATAGAGACACTTATCATGGAAGAAGTAAGTTGTAAAGTGGTCTTCCATGAAGAAGATTATATTTTCTGGGAAAAATAATGTTAATTTATTCTTTAGTGTTAAATAGCAAATTTTAAAACTTTAAAGTTTTCAAAAAATTATTTTTTACATTTTGACTAGGTAGCATTTTCATGTGGTTCAAAAATTTTAAATAATAAAAGAGTATATTTTCCTCATCTACCTAGTTCTCAACCCTCTTAAAAATCAACCTTGCTTACTAGGTTCTTGAGTATCCTTACAAAATTTTTAATGTTCATTAAAGGAATTAGGAATCTATATACTTAATTCAATTTAGTCCATTTTTATATAAATGTTACCATACTGTCTACAATGTTCTTTTCCTTGCCCATTTCAGGTTACATTGTATCTCAGATACATTTTCATATCATATAAATACCTTCCTTCGCTCTTGGTGCAGCTGCATAACCTACTATCGCTTAGATGGTCATTGTTTATTTACCCAGTCCTCTACTTACAGCATGAGGGTTCTTTATAGTCCTTTGCTATAATAAGCAATGCCTCCATGAATAAAGCTGCTCATCCTTGCTCACTCTCCCACTCCTATTCAACATAGTCCTGGAATCCCTAGTCAGAGCAATAAGGCAAGAAGAAATAAAATACAAATAGGTAAAGAAGCAGTCAAAATATCCCTATTTGAAGATGACATGATCCTATACCTCAAGACCCAAAAGACTCCACCAAAAATCTCCTAGACACCATAAACAGCTTCAGCAATGTAGCAGGTACAAAATCAGCTTACAAAAATCAGTAGCCTTTCTATACACCAACAATGAACAGATTGAGAAAGAATATAGGAAAGCAATTCCATTTACAATAGCCTCAAAAAAAAATCAAATACCTAGGAGTAAACGTAACAAAGGATGTGAATGACCTCTACAAGGAGAACTACAACCCCCTGAAGAAAGAGATTGAGGAAAACTACAGAAGGTGGAAAGATCTCTCATGCTCATGGATTGGTAGAATCAATATAGTAAAAATGGTTATACTGCCAAAAGCAATCTACATGTTTAATGCAATTCCCAACAAAATCCCAATGACATTCATCACAGAGATTGAAAAATCTACCATAAAGTTCATTTGGAAACACAAGAGACCACGAATAGCCAAGGCAATACTCAGCAAAAAGAGCAATGCTGGAGGTATCACAATACCTGACTTCAAACTATATTACAAAGCAATAGCAATAAAAACAGCATGGTACTGGCACAAAAACAGACATGAAGACCAGTGCAACAGAATAGAGGACCCAGAGATGAAACCACACAGCTATGCCCACCTTATTTTTTTGACAAAGATGGCAAAAACATATGATGGAGGAAAGACAGCCTCTTCAACAAATGTTGCTGGGAAAAGTGATTATCTGCTGGGAGCCAGTAGCTCACACCTGTAATCCTAGCTACTCAGGAGGCAGAGATCAGGAGGAACTCGGTTCTAAGCCAGCCTGGGCAAATAGTTCTTGAGATCTTATCTCAAAAAACTTCTCACAAAAATAGGGCTGGTGGAGTGGCTCAAGGTGAAGGCCTTTAGTTCAAGCCCCAGTAACAACAACAAAAAAAAGTGGTTCTCTACCTGCAGAAAACTGAAACCAGATCCATGCCTATCACCCTCTATTAGTATCAACTCAAAATGGATCAAGGACCTTAATATCAGAACTGAAACCTTGCAGTTAGTGCAGGGAATACTCTGGAAACAATAGCTATAGGTAAGGACTTTCCAGTGTAACTCAAGTAGCTGAGCAACTAAGAGAAAGGATGGACAAATGGGACTACATGAAATTACAAAGCTTCTGCACAACAAAAGAAATGGTCTCTAAACTGAAAAGACCACCCACAGAGTGGGAGAAAATATTCGCTGGTATACATCAGACAAAGGACTGATAACCAGAATATACAAGGAACTTAAGAAACTAAAATCCCCAAAAATCAATGAACCAATAAAGAAGTGAGCAAGTGAACTAAACAGAACTTTTTCTAAGGAAGACATTCAAATGACCAAAAACACATGAAACAATGCTCACCATCTCTAGCCATAAAGGAAATGCAAATCAAAACCACATTAAGGTTCCACCTCACATCCTGTTGGTGAGGATGCTGGGAGAAAGGAACCCTCATACACTGCTGGTGGGAATGCAATTAGCACAACCACTCTGG